GAAATGAGACCTGAGAGAGGCTGGGATGGTATGAACCGAGTTCCACCTTCTCTTTCATTTGATCTAAGCCTCTTTCAGACAGGGTTGACTCTTCTGCTGAGGAGACAGAGGTCTTTTTTTTCCACCTACGCTTTACCAAAGGTCACTTCAGAAAAAAAAAAAAATCTGATTTGTGCCTGACAAATTAATGTACGTTTCGCTACTAGAATTTTCCCCGAGCTGAACTTAGGACGGGACATCACCATGTCTCTTGATATATGTCTCAGCCCATGCACAAAACCAGGCTTAGGCAGGAATGGTTCTTATATTGGGCACAGTTGGCTCCATCCCCACCAGAAGGATTCCTGTAAAGCAAATGGATCAGCGCATGTTGGAGCAAAGGTGGCACCTGTAACTTGCAGACCATAGAGCACAGCACACTCTCCATCTTTTAGGAAACAAATCTTAAAGCCTCTGCCATCTCCTTTCACATGGCACTGGATTCTGCTCGTTGCCCAGCTTGAGGCTCCAGAGAGCAGAAGCCTAACTCTGAATCTTGAGAAAAAGCACATGCAAATTACTGCCAGCTCCCTGTATTTGTCTGCTCAGTGCAGCCCCATGTCCTGGCAATTGTGACATTCCTGCAATCACTGCAAACTGCTCCCTGCTCCCCACTGAATCAGGATGCACCAATTGGCAAAGTCTGGCTTGAAGCTAACTCTGCTGAGGATTTTGGCTGAAGGTGATAAAGGAAAAGTATTTGTGGAATAGACTTAGCAGTCCCAACTACTGCCTCCTCATTCCCAGCTGCTGAGAAAGCAATAAACGGCAAATATAAACTACCAAGAGCCTTAAATATAAACTGTTCATGTTTCATTCCATACCAAAGACATGTTATTTTTTGGATTTAGCCAAAAATAAAACACACACACACACAAGCAACAGCCATTTTCACAAACGGGAAGAAAAAAAATACTTCAGACATTAACACAGACATTAACATTTAAAGCACTCCAAAATTATGACAGCCTCATAATTTCTTCTAAATTTTGTCATAATTAAGTCCAACAAGTTGACATGACTCTTGCATCAGAATCCAATCCAAACAGAAAAAGGAAGTATGTCTTTCCTTAAGGATTTTTGGCTAAAGCCCCACAGCTTGAAATGAGGAGAGGAGTTCTGGCAGCCTGGCTGCTCCAGGAATCCAGCAGCACCAGAGCAGGCAGGTCCACGCTGTGATCCCTGTTTAAGCACAGGCCAAGCACCAAGTCCTGGCCTCTCTGGACTTCTTCTAGCTCAGTGAAACACTTAGATTACAATACAGCCTAGTTTAGTGTTCATAAAAACATCTGTGTGTAAGAACTGGCTTAAAAATTAATCTTGTACTTTTAGCTTTGTTATTCTACATCTACTAGGCAAGTACGAAGGAAAGCATTTCTTGATTTCTAGAATGAAATGGAGGGTAAATAGGAAAAAGAAACATGAGAGAAGGGCACCCCAAAAAAGCAAAATTGGCTTTTGATTAAAGCATACAAAATAGCTGATGTTTCCACATATTCTATTTATTAGATCTAGTCTTTTGTTTTGATTTGTCCTCATTCTGTAAGGCAGAAAGTGGAAATATATTATAATTATAGTGAATTTCAGTTAAAAAAATGCTTTTCCACCCTGCCCCACCAGACACTTCTCCAGGTTTATGGAGACAGTGCTCTTTCCAACGCAAATGCCATTTATAAACAAAGAACAGTTGCAATTACACACAGTTATTAGCAATTTTACATTACTTACGGCAGTAACAATTGCAACAAACCCCCCTATTTCTACCATAATTCATGCAAAATAACTCAGCCTTACAGCAAATCTGTGTTCAAAGTCAAATTCTCACCGAGACAGATTCATTTACAAGAGGCCATAGCCACCACGTTAATGTGAACATGCTGATCAAACATAATCCACCAACTTCTTTAAAGTTCAAGCCTATTACAAATTTTATAGCTTCCTGATCAAACAACATCCATGTCAAAAGTTTTAATTAGGGCTCTCATCAGTTGTCCCCATGCACACAATCAATTCAAAGGTAATTATCCCATTGCCAAGGGAGCACTGTAGTGTCCCCAAATTCTGTGTTTGGTGGAGTATTTAAACAAACACTGGAGTATTTGAAATAAAAGGGTTAACAAAACACTAAACCCTCTTTTTTTTTGTTTCCACTATGTAGTTAATAATTTTTGATTTGTTTTATGAAAAGATATGGCTTTCATCTGTACAGCAGATAAAATTTTGGTTGTCTTTCCAGAAAAAGCAGCATTCTGCTAATTAGAAGTCCTCTCCTGCAAGGCTAACTTATTGATGTCTTCCAGAGTATCTGCAGCTAGAAAAGAGGTGTGGAAAGCTTAAAGAAAAGTAAAATACAGTCTATTCTTGCAGCTATCTTGTAACTTTTCTGTGTGTTAAGCTTCTGGAAGCAAATTATCTCTCAGAACACTGGCAAACAATGGAAAAATAAATTGAAATATTCCTGTAGATAAGAACGATAAAGGATATGTGTATCCTGTTTGCTGGTCCCCTTATTAATATGAAACATGCATGCTCACATCCTTTTCTGGACTTTTATTAGTTGTCTAATCAAAATGAAAGTAGTTGTGTTCCAGCTAGGGTAAATGCTTCGCAACAGCTGGATGGGATTGCTTTATGCTTTGAAGATATCTGGAATTTATGACAGTTTTATGACACTGTACATATTTTAGAGGAGCCAGCAGGATTCTTTTCCTTCTGGAAAATGCACCACTTGGCTCTGAGCTCTGAGTGACTATGTCAGATCCTGAGCAAAGCCAGCACTTGAGCAAATTTAAGGTATTTTGTACCTGTTCATATGAAAATCAGTGTGGATTTGCTCCTAATTTATCTAAATGCCTTAAAAAACTTTTGAGAGCAACTGTGCTTTTTCAGACCTTAGAGATTTGCACAGTCCTGAATATAACTATACTTACTAGCTTTATGTTAATACAGAAAACAGTCTACAGAGTCAAGTCAAAAGTTAATACTAACATGCTTGTTAGTTCTGCAAACCACCCTTCTCCAATGCTAAAACAGTCTTCAGTAATATCCTAATGTACATTACTAATGGTGAGCCAACAACATCATGTTTTGTTTTTAGCAATTTAAGCCACTGGCAGCTCACGTATCATTCTGGATACTTAAAACCAATCTTTTAATCGATATTTGCATCTGGCTACACTTAATAATACATAAACCAGAGCTATTTTCCAATCACATGCAAAATAAAGAGAGCGCTAAAATTATTCTAAGAGCAAGCATGTTTTATATTAAAAATAAAGCTTTAATTCAGTGTTTATGGTTTAATTCAGTGCCAAAAAAGCTTTAATTCAGTGACCATTCTATAGCAACAGCTGAACTTTTAAAAATAAGTGTTTTATGGAGAGCTCAGAGGCAGAAGATGGCTCTGATCAATGAGCTTGCAGGTAGCTCTGAAAAGCACGTGCTGGCTCTGGCAGATGGAAGCCAAAAGACAACAGTGGTACAAGGGAAAAGCAGAACTTATGAGGGGAGATGATGGGGATAAAAGGGGAATTGTGGAGGAATATAAGGATACTAGAAGGATCTGGGGTAAGGCAATATGTGCAGGAGAGGTAGTAGGGAGATCTACGGTTCTTGAAGCAGGATTCAAAGAAGGGAGAATTTATTATCGTGATGCTTGCTTTGATTCCACCGAGTTTTGATAGTGCTGTTGAGAGCCTCAAAAGTTGCATAAAAATTATTCTTAATGAACATCTAATATGGTCTTCAATCACAACGAGATCATATTAAAAATAAATCAATTTAAAAATAGGATATCCCAAGAAAAAAATTAAAAGCCAACCTTATATAGCTTCCTACTATTAGTCTTCTCTTTCAAAAGGCAGGCATGCAGTGGTCCTAGAGCTAATAATTTGGTCTTCTATACAGATCTAGAAACAAAGATTTGGAATATTTTCTATTATTTTTCCTAGTTCCTATCAAGTTCATCTTTCATTTCAAGATAACGGGGAAAATATTTTTGCACTCAGATTGCCAGGACTTATGAAGAAATACAACATCCTGCCTTTTTTAAAAAGGTGGAGAAGGAGAAAGGCTCCTTCCACAAAGAAACTTCTCAGAAATAGCACAATTTAGTATTAGACGTGCCACAGGAAGAGGGGGGAGGGCTTATACCACAAGCCTGTCCATTGTACAGAAAAGCTGCTGCTTTTCCTATGGATGGGTGATCATCCTGTTATGCTGTTCTTAACTTCCTCCTACATTGTGAGGCTCAAGTCATGGAAAGAGTAAAGTTCTTAAACTAAGGATTGTGTTGGGAATTCCAAATACTTTCAGTACAAGCTAACCAAACAAATACATCATGGTCAGACTATTAACATCCTGGTTTAGTTTGCTGAAGCCACTATTCTTTTGAAAAAATAGTGTAATCTGAAGGACTCTGCATAGTTATCTTGTTAGTTCTTTCACCTTTTGATAACATTTGGACTAAATGGAAAAACAGGGACCTGCCTTAGAAAGCTAAGTACAAAATGCAAGACAAGGCAGCCTGTGCAAAGCGCTGTCCCCAAACAGCGATTAAATGGGATCATACTGAAAGATCCAAATAAAACTGGTTAAGCAGCCACAAAAAACTCTTTTACATCCAAAAAGGGTCACAAATGCATTGAAGAGATATAAATGTAAAACTTTACATTGCTAATTTTACATTAGTTTCCATCTCTAAAGCTACTGTTCTAAAGTGCCTCAACAGCAGGTCAGCTGCCCCCTTCAGAAGGAGAAAAAAAGACATTAATAACATGCAAAGTGACTAAGTAGCAGTGAATGTGAGGTTAGGACTCGTAGCATATGTTCCAAGCAGTGAGTACAGTACATGCCAGTTCCATTGCAATCTATGCAGTGAAGTGTGGAGCTGCCTCTCTGCCATTGGCAGATTCTCAGGCATGCAGCTACGAGCACGTTACGTTAGCCACCTCTGCAGTTACCTGATAGCCTTCTGTTTTTTTCTGGCACCACTTCAGTAAGGCATTTCTCTTGGATCCTCCATATTCTCTTGCTAGGGCAGACAAGGGATCTTTCCTTTCTTCCCTAAGGAGCAAGAAGAAACGTAATTTGTAGCTTGCAAAATCATTCTGCATGAGAAATACGATTGCAAGACCTTAAAACCACAGTGGCTCAAAGAAAGAAGCAGCTGTACTACTGACTGAAAACACATTAAAATACCTGGAGAAATTTAAATGATATAAATTTTTTTGGAGAATTGCTATCACTGGCAAACGAACTGTTCTCTCCCTTCAAACTAAAGGTTCTTCCTATGTCTTTCAATCCCAATGACATTTTTTCCAAGAGTTCAGAAAATTCACCTCAGAACATAGTAAGCTGCAGCTTGAACCATGAAGCTGACTCAAGTGACTTTATTTTGTATTTAGCAAAAGAATAAACTGATGGTATCTCTTTCGCATCCCATGGCTGATTCCAAGTGTCACCTTGAAACAACAAGTTGGAATATGAGCAGCACGCACCTGGTACACAACATTAGTGAGATGTGGAGTTTCAAAAAGGAAGAGACAGAAAACTAGCTTAATTTACTATCACAGTGGGTACTATGGGTTTTTCTTTCCAACAAGAATGTTCAACTCACCCCCCAAAGTAATTTCGTTCACTATCTGTCAAGCTACTTTAGTCATTTTTATGTATTTACAGATAAGGAAAAGAATACAAGAAACCCTGTCAATTTACATCAATCACTTGCCAAAAAAATCTTTAGTGCTCAAAAAAATAAATCAGGGAAGGAAGTACCAGGCTGCAGAAATTAACATTTAGATAAAAAAGAAAAGGAAAGAAGAAATATTTCTATATATATTTATTATATATATATAGTTAATTTTAGTGGCCTCGTTGTATGAGTTAATGCATATTTCTAAAGAAACTGTATTGAACAGTTTCTCAAAAATGCCTAGGTAGGAGCTTAGTTATTGGTTATAAAATAGGCAAACACTTCTTTCAAAGTTTTTTTTTTTAATGTTTTTCATTTGAAAAAAATAAAGATAACTATCAGTGAATCTGTAATAAATTGATTTCCACATCTTTTCTTATATATTGTAATTTGCTCTGCCAGTCTTCACTGTACTACAGATCAAGAGCTCCTTGCATCCACATTTCAATGCTCCTAGGAAGAAATACATGGCAGTATTTGATAGATGCCAATAGGTGGCATTTGAGCCATCCATTAAAAAAAGTGCAGCAGGACAGTAAGCAGGAAACAGTAGGTTTCTTTCAGTGTGAAAGATAGCAATAGGAATCTTCAAACTTGTAGTGGTGAAGTTCTCTGAAATTGTCACTCAAGGAAGCTGCTCATTAGATATTCTAGATATGAAAGAAGTGAATAAAATAGGAGGGCTATTAGATCTTTTAGATACATGCAGCTAGATAGCTAGAAAGTACACTCTAAAATAGTACAAAAAAGATGTTACCTTATTCGACTCCTGGTGGTAGGGGTGACTGATGCTGTGGGAGAAGATGACAGTGAGAGCTGTGGGGAGGTGGTACCCATTGTCATGAGAGAGGCTGGAGATGCTCCATCTGGTGCGCTGATATCCCGCTTGATTTCTTCACTACTTCTTCGAGAAACTAAGTGGGGAAAAAAAAAGAAATAAGACTTAAAATTACTCAAAGTTCTGGACAACGGCATGATGGTTTGAAGACAAAAAAAAAATCTCACTTGAAAAAGAAAGATCTGTATGTACAGCAGTTACATGAGAGAGTCTCTACTTTCAGTAAAAGTTTAGATAATGTGACATTACCCGAAATAGACTTGGCACTTTCCATAGCAGGTACTCTTGGCAGAGAGGCTGGCCTGCTGGTAGAAGATGTTCTCAACAAGTGCTCTGGACAAAGGAAAAAGAAAAGAAAATATCACTAATAGATTAAAAAAAACCTTGAAATTTAAAATCTAAATATTGGTGGCTTGTACGTGAACCTCTATCTAACAGCTACTGAATGTGTATCTGTTTCAGTGACAAATGTTTTTATCTGCATGAAAGAGTGCCTAAAAGTTGCCACTACCAACACAGTTCACTATGCAAACATCGTGACCTCAATCCATCTTCCCTTGAAGCATCTCTTTTTACTCCACTCTCCCTGGTCTGTTAAAAATTGTTAAACCAAAAGACTTCCGAAGGATTCCTGTTTAGTATACTGCCAAAAATATTGCATGTGTCATTCACACTGGTGATTGGAAAAGCAGATGATTTCATCCCATGTGTTTTTGTCTTTTTTTTTTTTTTTAAATCTTGCTCATGAATTGACAGTATAAGAGTGTTTTCACATATTGCAGAGAAAGATCAGTTCCACTGCCTCCTGCCAAATGCCTAACATGCAGCTACAGCAAAGCTCCATTTTCTGTAACATTATATCAAAATTAGGGTTTTTTGTGTGAATAAGAGTCACCCTGTAAAATACATATTCCTTCAAATAAAACATTTATAATATATACAAAAGATTTAAATAGCACATTGCTTGGAGGATAGTTACCTGAACACAAAAATATGGAAAATGAACAATGAGATTAAAAATAAAATGAAATCTTGAGACCCAATTCATTAGAACATGACAGATAGGAAACATCACTGCTACAAAGTTACATTTAAAATGTATATGGTTGTAAACAGGATTTCTCTCTGGCATCCTTTATGTCATAAGTCAGTCTTGCTCTTGCATTAACTGACTATAATGAAAACAAAAACTATACAAAGCGTAGCACTTTTTTGTGTGCTTAAAGCTTGTGTCAACCCACAGACTCTGCAAAAATTAAAGAATCCTAAACTATCTTCTTGGAAAGGCATTTCAATATTCCTAAAAATATCAAAGTATTCTAAAATTAAAACTCCAGCTGCATTGAACAAATAACTTCAATATGCATTCAAAAAAAAGCAAGAAGGAAATCTGGCACATACAGACTATTATGAAGTGCTACAAAAAAAAACTTGAGAAATCATCAGACTTCAGGAATACCAAACAGAGGAAATAGAAAGGCTGGAGTCATATGGGGATTATCTTGAGAAACATCTACAAAAAAACCTAAAACAGGCATAAATCAGAGAGCTACACCCAACACCTGATAGCTATTCATTCTTACAGGAAGAGCACATTGTGAGCAGTGCTTTGAGAGACAAAACAAGATTCACAGAACATGGAAATATTGGGAAACAGATAAATCAACAGTCACTTAAATTCCATGCAATTTTTGATCCACTTCCTGCAGATTTTATATAAGTTTACATTTTCTTATTGACATGCAATATGATGTTATCCATCATCCTTGTTTCAGTGGGGAGGCAGCGTGTGTATATGGGGAGGAAGCAGAAAAAAAAAGCACAAACAAAAAATCCCATTACACAATGCATAATATAACCTGAGAGATTTGCATCTTTTAGTTGTGGAAAACAGTAGCAAGACATGCCCCAAACGTCATCTTGCACTGCTTTTGTGAGGGATCTCAGTTTATGCTAACATTAATAACTGCCAAAAGGGAGAGTCCTCTGGATGCTATGATGGCTTCATTGAAGATCCAAAAAGCATCTTTCTGGCAAGCCACCATATGTGACGAAACACAAATCAAAACTTATGTTGCTCATTTTGAAATTAAACTATGTTAAATTTAAAAGATCTATTAAATGGTAATGTTTTGGATATTAAATGATATCAAATACCAAAAAAAGTATTTATATTTACTAGAAAAATCTAAATAAATAGAATGAATACCTTGAACAGGGATTTCAGCATAGCTTGGTCTTTTGTCTGTCAAAGTAGCAAGGGGTTTAGAAGCCGAGATTGGTCCACTTATGGAATGCCTCTGAAACAAAAAAGCACTTATGTCACTTAACTTGAAGGTAAAATCAGCAAAACAATGACTTATAGAATAAATTCTATACGTTCTGATAAAATATGTCATTAGTAACCTAAAAGAACTAAAAACAAAGGAACGTTAAAAACATACAGTCAATATAGTCAAACTTGTCCTGCTTCTATGTTGCTTTTTAGCTTATGAATGTATATCTACACAAATATATCTACATTATGCAGATATAGATAGGCTCCCTCATAAATTGATGTAATCTTTTCTTTAAACTTCTTCTTAAAAACCTGTTTCACGAACCCATGTTGCAAACAAACACTGTGAAGTTACACGCCTTTAATTGAAACCAGATGCCGTTTTTGTGTTAATTTTCACCTTGATTCATGTTTTGTTTGTACAAACCTGTTCTAGTTAAGCACAATGCAATTATTTAACCTATACATCCCCTACACATAGTCAAACTCTTACTGCTCGTTTTTCAACATTAACATGTCCCTTTACAACTTCATGCCTCTTCCTGGATAGAATATAAGGATATTGGCTGTTGGTAGCACCACTACTCATCACTAAGAAAAATCCTGCTAAAAAAAGTGTTCTTAATTCAGAGTATCAAAAGATTATGTTAATTTTTATTTGCTCACATTATTAAACTCATTTATTTTTTTCACTGTACTGTTCAAATAGAGACTGTTTAATGAAGGCTTTCCCTCCCATTCTGAATGGCAAACATCTCATTTGACTTTAGATTATTGCTAGCACTACTATATAAGTTATCTTCCTATTTGTTTTAAGCTTTATGTAAATTTCTTCTTAGCAATACGTCTAGTAGCTTGAAGTGTGTATGTATCTGCATTCATATGTATACGATATATATATATGATTCAGATACAACTACCTTGTACATGACAATTCAGTAGTCACTGTGCAACACAAACAGATTTTATTTGCACCCTAATGAACCACACGTTTCAATAATCACCCTTGCACCTCATGAAACTCGTGCACAATCACTGAAGACTCAAAGACAACAAACTTATTTCTGGAAAATTATCACTTCAAAGAGCCTAGAGCAAACAGGCTGCCTTTTTTATTACCCATCCTTTCTATTATCCTATATTTAATCACATAATCCCTCCAGTAATGTATGTATCCTGAGAACTCTTGCAGCCCTCTGTCTGGACCAAGATTAGAAGAGAAGGTTAAATGAGCCTTATCTACATAAGATAATACAAGTCACATGTTTCTCAAGTCAAATCACGTAGGCAAGACAGGCTTATCCAAAAATATGATAAAAAGTTTGCAGTATATGCAGTATATGCTTTGTAACATCTCAGCATGACAGGGCTACTTATTTATAGCTTAGAGCCAAATTAGAATTATGCTTTTGTGCTAGAAATCAATTAGAGAAAACAACTGTCTGCAACTAAGAGTCAGGCTTCCAAAAAAAGATAAAGGCATAAAATATTTCATCACTTTAGTGTATCATAAAGTCTGCATGGACAATACAAAGATTAAATGTGCACATAAATGTGACTGTAATAAGCCACACAACCACTGCCTGCAATGGTTTCTTGAACTGATATTTCAGATTTGCCTTACCTTTAAAGTTCATTTCACCTACTTACGAAAAAGCCTCTTCATTATTACTGTTCTTTTTTTTAATAAAGGACCAAATCAAAGTGAGTCTTTGTTTCAAAATATATATAAAAAGAAAAAGGAAACAGGATCACAATAGAGGAAGATAATGTGCTTGAAAGAAAAACATTTCATTCTGGCTCGCTTTGTGATCGTCATTACAAAGATAGAATTTCAGGCAGGAAACAAAGGTACATAAAAAGCAGGCACAGTGTGGACAACTAAACAGCCTTATCACTTTCCTAACTTCCGTGTATCATTTGAAAACAAACATCCTTTACGGATATTGCCAGAAAGTGACGGTATTACCCAGCTGATAACTTGCTGCCACTCTTGCCTCCTTGCTATAAAACTGTGTTTGCTTTTCTGGCTTTTGCTTATGTTGATACTCTGGACTTCATTGTGTTATTGCTAGTTCTTACTAAATATCCTACTAATTCCACCGTAAGGATTAATATTAATAACAGTGATCAGTACTCAGAAAACTCAAGGAAAATGAACAAGCTAATATGTTTCTGAAGTCCCAATTTACAATATTTATACAGTAGCATTGCACAAGTCTCTTTGGGGGAATAATATTTCCTGAAGCATTTTAGAAAGCTTGAGAAATATTTCTGCTTGAGTTTTTGATGAATTTGTAGGGAGGCCCTTCTTATGTTACTTACAAAAGAGGATGCATATGATGTGGAATCAAGTATATATGCATACTATGAATCTATTTTTGGCAGCTTTTTGTTCCTCTCAACTAGAAATACATTCAAAAACGAGCTTAATTGCTACATACCAGGCCTGTCCTCCAAATCCTCAATGCTAAATATAACAGGATTAAGAGTTCTGAAGAGTCAAGTGCCTTTGGTGGAAGCTACCAATAGGGCCAAATTTAGTAAAGATGCTTTGCAATCTGGGTTGTGGGTCTTATATGTTCACTGCCTTCTTGTCGGCACTGACGTCCAGCAAAAGAAAGTCCTGGAAACCTTAAGTCTGGCCTTCTGGATAAGATTTACAATGAAAATGGTTCAGACTTGAATTAAATGGTGTGTAGGTTTAGAGCTGTTCCTCAAGAACAGATGTACGCTTTACCTTAAAAAAAATCTGAGTTTTATCTCTATTCTTTAAATTATTTGCATGTAAAAGACATGGTAGAACAGTATTTTACAGCCAAGGTCTCTTCTAGATGTTTTTGATTCAGAAGTTCTTAAAACTAAAATCTGAAAGTATTAATACTGAGAAGCCATCATTTTCAATTATGAGGAACAAACCAATTTTGTCTTTGGCTAGAGCCTAATCTCACTAAGTTGAAGAGGGATATAAAAGTCTCTTTATAATGTAATTACAGTAACAGATAAAAATAAGGCTGCTAAACCCTCATCTGTTACTTTCTCACAGCCATTCCTACTATGAAGACAAAGTTTCTGCCAGGTAGCTATTGCTCTTTTCTGAACGGCTTCTTTTATAATATGAATTATCAGCTGAATGTCAGAATCCTGGAATACAGGAGCACTACCAGGCTGCAGAGGAGCAAGAGGCAGGCGGGTGAAAACAAATACAAGAAAAGAAACACTCAAAACTTCGAATTTGAGACAGAATGAAAAAATCCTTTAAGCTCTCAATATTTCTTCTGACTCTTAATGTTTGTGGTACCTGCTCTTGGCTATGGAAGGAAACCATGACCTTCATCTCCCAGCGGGGTTTCTATTCCCAACGACTCTGCTCCAAGCCCTTCAATAAGATGTTTACACCAGCACAACTACAGACAGCAATTTTAGAAGAGGCAGACTTAGTTCTTCACACATTAGGTTGATAAGAGGTGTGAGTCTTTGACAGCAAATTGTTCAGAGCCTAAGGTTTATATAGATTGAAAGGGAGGCTGTAGAGCGAGCAATGAGTCTGAAACCACTTTTACCTCAGGAAGTTCCCCAACCACAAAACAGAAACCAAAAGCACTTGGCAAAAGCAGTAGATCGGGTTGCTTGTCCTTGCATTGCTCTACAGGATCGGCTTTTTGGCCACACGCAATGGAACTAAGCTTAGTGGCTTTGGGCTGAATAAAGTGGTTTTCTGGAAATTCTTTTCATAATCCCACTCCTAGACTGTTCTGCAATATCAGTAAGCTCAGGTAAATAACTGCTCTGTTCCAATACTGCCTTGAACCTGATGCCAGAAGGGTGTTCTGTTTTATTTGGTATTTTCAGTTGCCAAAAAAAAAAAAAAACTTCTTGTGCATACACATATTACTTAAAAAATAAAAGTACGGACTCATAAGCCTGAGGGGAATTCATGTCAGAGCCCAGCAAGGACATGAAGCCGACAGGGGTAACTCAGAGGGCACACGCAGAAGCATTCGTACTTGGAAGCAAGTCCCTGTACATGAGCATCACTTTGGCAACCAAGACATCTCATCAGAAGGCCAAAATTGTGCCATCTTCCTAAGTGCCCACTTAAACCAATACCCTCTCTGTGACAGCATTTAAGAGCAACTCAAATTAATGCTAAATAAGTGCGGCAACACAAACCTTTCCTAAGGGTTTTAGACCAGTGATGACATCCATAAAGGGGGAGATGATGAATCAGTTCACATGGCAACTTTTTAAACTTGTGTCTCAATTGCAAAATCAAAAGGGAAAAATATATATATATATAGATTTAATAAAACAGCACTGAAGAAATCCAAGTAGTAGCATTAAAATGAAAGAAAGCAGAGGATGAAAATTGTTTTCAAATGTGAATCCCTTCTCTCTTGAGCACAAAATATTCTTTAAACACAATTTATATAACGGAGGTCACAAAACTGCTTTCTAGAGAATTACAAGAAAACCCATCACCAAAAGGCAACAGGAACAGTGTTCGTTTCCATGCCCTCTCCTCTGTGTTTCAGGAAATGTTTCCAGCTAACAGGCATCCATCTATTAGTGCTTAGTGAACCTTCTACTAAAGCACCAAAATAAACAGACACATAAAGACAGATTGATGGAAACAAACATGTGTCAGGGCAGTCATACCAACTAGTGCAGCAAATGCTGGCACAGGTGACCGGACGCGAGAAAACAGTAGAAATTTTCATAAAAAAAAGCATTTAAATCCTCCATGTTGCCTTTAAAGTTATGTGCTTTCCTCATGAAATTGACTGTCAAGTGAATAAATCTATACTAGCTGATGCAACAAAATGGTCACTTTATTTCAGATATTCTAAGGTATTAAAAAACAATAATTGATATAGATTCCTCAGTTCACATGGAAAGGACTCGTTATTGAAATACAGTGACTTACGGTAAAAATCAAATTTTGACACTGCTCATTTGCAACATATTGAAGGTAACAGAAGAATTACTAGTATTACTAAAGAATAAAACATCCATTATTTTATTTTTTCTTTGCATGTCCTTTGTCCTTAAATGCACTGGCTTTTGCCCAAATTAACTTTCACATAGCATATGTAGTATAAGCAGCAATAATAATTTTTTTTTTTTTTTTTTTTTTAGAAAAAGAGCAAGACTGTGCTGCTGATGTAGCCCTAGCATATCCAGACTTCTGCAACAGATGGAGAAATGAGACAATACTACAGAAGAGACAGGATAAAACACTCAGTATGATCAAGAGCTGGCTCAAGCTCTCTCAAGTCAGTACAAAATGCATTAAGTTAATCAATTTATGATGATTTCATCCCTCTCCAGTCAGGTCTGATACCAAAAGCCCACGTAACAGGCGATGCATTTATACTGAAGATTGCTCATAGGTTATACACAGATCTTAGCCCACTACCCAGAGTGTTACTGCCTTTTCTGTGCCAGGATTTAGGACTCAAAAACAGCTACTCTAAAACTAAGGAATGTAGATAAAGTTTTCTTCCCATATTTCTCAGAAGCACAAGAATAGTAAGGATAGAAATAATGATGTAGAAAATTATGTCAATTTATGATTCACAGTGAATTTATGAATTAAATATTTGGTAACTTTCCCTTGTCTACAATGCTAAAAAAGAGACATTACAGTAAAAGGACAGGCAATAACATACACCTAAATAACAGTAATACCTCTGAAGAAAATTAGTGCTTGAAGAGGCATCTTTATGTGCAGCAGAGATGAGGGGAGTAGGAAAGCAGAGATACAGACTGAACACTGATAGAGAATTATTTTACATTTTTCCAACAAAATGGTCCAAATACATTCTTTAAAGTGTCAATGGGAAGATGCACTTTTGTCACACTGAACAACTACTTACTTGAGACTATATTATCTCCCTAAAAAAACAACCACTGTTTGTATATTTTGTTTTGTTTACCACCTCCAGTTTCACAAGCTCCTCTTCTCAAAAGTAGGATTAAGGGCAATCACAAGACACCTACCTGCATGGGGGACACAGCAGCAGCTGGGGGAGTTTTCATGGGGCTTGGACTCAGAGGAGTGCGAGGAATTGTGGCAGCAGCAGGACTTGGAACTAGTTGAAACACAAGGAGGACTCATAAGCAGTGTGTTGTTTTGAAGGGACACGAAGACTTCTATACAGCAAACCCTCTCCATGTATTTTACATCACTACTTTTCCTAGAAAATAACTCCCAGAACTTCAATTAGTAACTAAATGCAGAGTCTAAGCATTTATAATAATGCTTACACAGCCAGTCCTCTGACTACATTCATCTTGTCTAGAATATGCATCACTCACGGTAAAAACATTTTGAAGTTTACTGGGGCTAGACAAGGCTAAAGCGCACGATATGATTATGTGAAAAGATGTAAATAATGTCATTATTGGTTCTCTGATCTCCAGACAATTAGAGACAACAGTAAGAGGCTACTGGGTGCACAGGAGAACAGTATCCTGTATCATCAGCCCCTTTCTTCCGAAGTCCACAGGTGCTTACAGATTACTCTTATTTAGAGGCACTACAGGTCTACTGTTGCATAAAACAGTCCCTAAAACTTTGGGATTACAAAATACCATTTTTCAAAAAGCCTCATTGTGTCCCATATCCCAGACCTACTTTGACATTACTGTAAATAAACTGCAAAGTCAAAAGGCTTGGGAAAGGAAATAATTCAGCTACAGAAATAATTCGTAGAAGCCATCATGCACAATCAAAAATAAAACCTACGTGTTCCCTATTTCAGGGTAATTATGTGGATTCCTTATCCAGCTCACCTTTAGCAGCAGCACCCTCTTTCAGAAATAGATAATTCAAGTCCACTGCCTCAACAGTGGTACCTTATTTCTTTTAATAGGCAACACAGGTTGGACCTCATTTAATTTCATTAGCTCCACATTCTTGAGCATTCTTCAGTTATTAAAAGAATTTGGCTCTGGCTATTGCATGGCTTCTAGATTGCTTCATTTGGCACGTCAAGTTCAGCATCTTAATGGGAAGACTGCGTATGAGTTCTATGTGTTTCTAATATCAGGGAGCACTGAATCACTGTCTAGCACATGAGTCATTGGCAACGTGACAGGAAAGGGAAAAAATGGCAAAATAAGATGTTTGCACTTAATCATTGTGAAAGACCTGTTGCGCAGTGCAGTTCAAGTTGGTTTGTATCAGTCATTACTTATATCATAAAAGCGCAATAACGCAACTTACCTTTGAATTGGATAAACTAGTAAAGTATAAGTGTCATCAGTAGCTCCATAGAGCTACTTCATATAATAAAAATAATTACCTTGGGAGGCACTGTCAAATGACTTGATGAGTGTTTTTACAGTAGGAGTTGGCTCTGAGGAAGTAGACGATCTGCGACTCAGCCCCATTCCCTGTCTCAGAGCTGCCAGATCTCTCTCTACGGCATTCATGTAATTGTATACTCGACCACGTTCTTCTTCTTGCCTGAAATCCATTTGTAATCCACTTAAATCATTTGAGACACAGAAAGTGTTAAAAATTGAGCACAAAGCTCAAGCCAATCTCAAAATTTATGGTCTAATCAATCCATTATATTAACCTGGTTTTCCTTCCATGGTAATTTAGCAATAGATTACTTGCCTAAATTACAACTGTAAACTCTTATTATTTATCAGCAAGAGACTTGAAGCACCAGTGAAAAATCTATCAAATCAATACTCAATTTAAAGCTTAATTTCTGCCCATCCCTCAAATATACACATAAGCATGTATGGTGTTGTCTGAAAATTTGAAGACAAAGGACAGAGCCACTTCATTTGAAAACAATCAGCTCAGAAAGACTTTTCTTCCCTGCTTGCATAAGTAGAAAACAATGTCACGGAGTTAAGAATATATTTTGACATACCTCTTTAGGCAGAGTTTAAACCATAGTTTCCAAACAACAACAACAAAAAATAGAATTTTAGAAGAGAATATTTATGGTGACTATTGTACTCAGTGCCATTTGCAATACAAGAATTGATGGGAAAACCTATTTTCGACAGTCTGCACTAACAAACTATTGCCTTATTTTTACTTCTGACACTAAAAGATACTTCCCTCTAGCACAGTAGCTATATACTGGTGACTTTACTTCAGCTAGTGGGTCTTAACCCACATCACGCAGCCAGTCAGCTCATTTTCTGTGCAACTGGTCTGCTCTCCCTTCTTTCCTCTGTCTCTACCATTAAGTTTTTCCCAAATTACATAATCTGCATAATCGCATACCTAACTGGTCTCTAGGCTAAGCGTAACCTATAAAATGGCCATCAACATGAGACTTTAATATATACATCACAAATATCACTGCTGTAATTGTTGGAAGTTAAACACCTACTCAGACCCTAGACACAGAGCAGTCAGGCTTCAAATGCTAACGTGCAATATGCTCTTAATTTATGGATTAAAGCCTTGCATTTTTCTGAAAAATGTAAGATGCAGTTTTTACATAACTCTGTCACCGAGCTCTACTTACAATACATTATAATTTGACATGTGTTTTTTTAATAATTTATATACAAGGCACGTCTAATTATTCCCAGAAAAAAAGTTATCAGTGGAAACATACAAGATATATGTAGAATCCAAGAAGATCTCTTCCAATGCAGAGAAAAGCAGCTAGATTTTTCGCTCCAACAAAAGCCTTGGCAGCAAATAATAATTGTGGTGGTACAGGAAAACTAACACTGCTTGCTTTTCATAGCAAGACAAACTAAAGCATGTCCAGCTGCTATTTGGAAAAAACACTCCCCTTCAACTTGGTCTGGTAGGAGTGCCAAACTCCATATAACTCGAGGGATAGCAGACAATATAAATAAACAGATACAAACACACATACATATATGTGCTGTTTTTGCATCTATTTAAGCACTTCTTTCCAGTTAATTCCTCAAAGTCTACATAAAGCAGCTAGTTGAGATATGGAACCTCACAGTGAAAGAATTTATGAATTTCCAGGGCCACAAAAATAGTCAAAACATTGAATTTCCAAAATGGTACCCCCCACGACCAGAGAAGAGATGAAATCCCTGCAGTCTTTTGCATACTTGCGTGACTTGATTTCCTCCAACTCTTTAGTGAGCTTCTCATTTTTCTCCTGAGCTTCATGTAATCTACGCTTTAGGTCTCCTATCTCTTCCTGGGCCTCAGATTTTATATCATTTGCTATAACCACAGCAGTCTGCAGATCAGCTTGGAATTGACGCCATTCTGCCGACTCCTCCTACAAGCAAACAAAAAATTATAGACAGCAGCAGCAACAACTCTGAGGCTTAAAAAAAAAAAATTGTTATCCCTATTATTCATAGTGTTCCTACACTGTTACAGGAAGCAATTTACAGGAGTGATAAAGGCACTCATCTCTAAGTTAGCTTGTGCTTAATGCCAAGTTATAGTGAAAAAGCTCTGCTGGAAATAATTAGATCTTAACCTTCATTTCTGAAAATTCAGGAAATGTTTATAGTGGAGGAAAAACATGCATATGAAGCTATACATCAGAAGACACCAAAGCGATTACTCCCAAGCCCAGTGCTGTATTTCTGGGACAGTTGCAAAAATTCTTGCAAAAATTCTTTAGTCTCTGTATTTTATAAAGATATTCCAAAATGTCATTATTCTCTCAAAGTGATTAATTATTAGCTTTATCAACATTCCAAATTACCTTTATACAATTTAACATGAAGGTCTTAAGACATTCCAACATACTATGTATTGATACTCTGGCTTTCACGTTTTAACCTACCCGGAGTCTCCTGTGAAGATTCTTTATTTCTCTTTCCATGTCATGCTTTTGGTCCTGAAGTTTTTTAACGGTATCTGTAAAAAAAAGTCAAATCTCATGCAAGTCAGGCATCTATTTATTCACACAGAAACAAAAAGAGTAGGTAGGTCTTTTAAAAAGCAAACTCAGAGAATATATTATTTTTGTAATCCGAAGACATCCAGGGAAAAATGATATGATCAGAAGTTACCTAACCAAACATGTCAATACATACATATTTCTACATTGAGTGGGGGAAAAAAATCAGCGTAAGCTAACTCAGAACTGAGATAAATCCCAGTCTCTTCTCAATCCAAACATAACTGCAACTTGGCAAAGCAACGAGAAAAAAGAAAAAGCATGAAAACAGTTTACACAAGTAACATGGAACGATCTTAAAAACTGGTGTTTAGAGGGCTTCCCTCTTTATATTTAAAGTTGGAGCTACATCAAACCTTTTGGTTCATACTCCTTCGTCACAAAGCTGCTGACAAGAAGCCCTCACAGTTCTTCCTTCACACTCGTGCTCATAACCCTTCCATTCTCGGGCCTCACACCCCTATCCGAAGCTGAAATAGGCTGTACTTAATGTAAAAGCACAAGCACTCAGTAAGGTGATACCATGAAAGAGAAAGGGTCCCCTAATTGTGTCAGCAGCTCTACAAAGGGGCAAGAATAAATTTCTAATTAGCTTATCATGCCACCAATCCCTGCATCTTAGGGATGTTTGATTTCTATAGCATTGTGCAGGTATGTCAAAACAGTAAGAATTACATACCTGCTCCTAGGTATAGCCTATTGTGCTTAATTGTATTTTTCAGCTCAAGTTTATTGTTTCAAGAATTGTGGGGAAAAAAAGTTCATATTAGCAATGTTTTTATTACAAGAAGACTGCAGGTACCTAAATATACTTACGGCGTTAAAAAAAAATCAAAAAACCTATGTGCCAACGTGTACACTCTTTTGCCTCCGTTATGCTCGTAAGTGTTTGCATGTTTCTGGTCCTCAGTTGTGGAATTGCTTGCAGTATTTCCATTTGAAGAAATTCAAGCTTTGCTTCAACAGCCCAGCTACAAAGCCTTTTAATGCCACAGCTGGTTTCTTTACAAGTAAGATACAAACCTCAGTCGGCCTGCAAACATGATAACCTTTCAGGCCTGGAAAACTTGAAACACTACAGCTAGAAAGATAGGTCTACTTTTATCTCCCTCTTCCAAGACTGCACATTTTATAAGACACATCCAACTGATGGTTAAGCCTGGAAGATAAACCTGAACTGCAGACTGCTCAGATTGCACGCTACCACAAAGCTGAAGCAGAGCCGTCCTCCACTTTTCATCTACTTTTCATCTCATCTCAGCTTGGTTGCACACACAACTTGGTTGGACAAAACGTAATGGCGATGCCAGCTTAAGTCCAAGGTATTAGAGCCTTTCACACCCATGACCTTTATTTTTCTTTAAACTTGGGCAAAAAACACCGACAGCAGCTCAACACACCCAAAAGCGCTTCCAGTAGCAGTTGGAAACAAGCTATAGCAGATGACCATTTGACCATTCTCTTTTTAAAATGAGTTAAAAGAAAATGTTGCTTTTAAAAATACCAGTTTCTTTTACAAGCCCAGACAAGCTATGGCTCATCTAAAAATAACCACAAACCAGAAACTCAAAATGCATCCAGAGTCAAAGCTTGTGTAATGCCATTGTTCGGAGCTTTTGTGAGATATGAAATGCACCATTAACTTTTAGTGTATTTATGCTTTGAAGTAAAACACAATGGCCTGAATACTCTACACTTACTATAAACAATACAGAGCATTTTATAGCCATTCTTGAAACGGTCTTCTCTCCACCCCCAATCCATACAGATGAAAAAAAAAAAAAAAAAAGGAAAAACCTACTGAGCAGTGACTGAAACGAACCTGAAATCTAAATTAAGACTGTAATCAGTGACTTCATCTCCTGCAGTCTAAATTGTTTCTCACATTGTGTCTGCCTATTACAGCCTGAAAACTGAGGCAGATAAAACACGTACGCAGGCAGCTGCTGTCTACACACCTGCGTTGTGGTATCTGTCCTTCCTCCTTCTCCTCCTCACACTCATCTCAACACCCATCGGTCCCATTTCACCTGCAGAGGCTGCTGCCCACCCCAGTTTTCACTCTAATTGGAAAGTTATCTGGGCTCCTGCTTTTAAGGATGTCAGACAAGACAGAAAGATGAGGATGGACGGGACGGTGTCTATTGTTCAGGGGCAACCGAAGAGCAAGGGAGCCGCTTGGATGGATGAACTGGATAATCAAAGCTGGCAAGTGCACAAACCAGCCAGATGCTTGCATTTCACTGCAAGATTCAATTACGTCTCTATTTCACTAAAGAATATTAATCGAAATCACAGTTTGACAACTCCTTGCTTTCTGAAAGGTCACAAAATAAGTTATGGAAAACAGACTATCAGCTTTGGCTGTGGAGGGGGCTATTTTAATGGGGTAGCACCTGAATTTCAGGTCAATTCTGTAGTGTCTTCTATTTAGAACTAGCAGATAGAATTAGTATAAAATAAAAATCAGTATCAATATGCATTTTCTTTTAAAAAAAACAAATAACATTGAAATTAAGATATTGCTTTCAGACACCCATGGTTGTTTTGTAACTCAAGCCATGGAAATCCTTAACAATCAATCCTGAAGCAGTTATTCCTAACTCAGGGACACCCAGAGCAGGCATTGCCAGTTTTTACACCAGTTCCCTTGGTTTGCCTTGGTCTAGGACAGCATCTCCACACACAGCAGAGGAAACGCTACCCTGGGACAACCACATGCACATAAATAGAGCTGTCTCACCAACAGCTTCCTCCTGTAGGAAGCGGCACTCGGGGGTCAAACACCCCAAGGCACAGACAGCTTTCTTATCAAGGCTGCTTTTGAGCTTATCGCTGGCGGGCAGTTGGTCTACTCGGCTGGTATGCATATATGTATTTTTAGGTGTGCGTATGCAGGATGGAGGGACATTTTAGGCGCGCAGGGCACCGTGAGGCGGAGCAGGGGCGCCATCTAGCGCCTCGCGCCATCCCCACACGCCTCAGTGCCCACACGAAACGCCCCACTCGCTCCAGCGTTTCCTGGCCTCCATACACACAATACGTTATACTTAAAAAGTCCCTTTTACCTGTGTGAAAGGCATGTTTCATGAGAGGTTCTGCTGTGTCTTGCCATGGCTGCGAGAGCCTGCAGGACCAGTGCCCCAATGGCCATGGCAGCTCACGGCACCACACAGTTAATTCACGTTAATTGCCCATAAAAATCACCAGCTCACTCGGAGAGCCTCTTTCTCCTAACTGTGAGGCCTCTTTTCTGCTAATTCTTGACCCAATAACATTCCATCAGTTTTCCAGCAGTGTTGTCATCACCTTCGTTCAGCAGCAAGCTCTGCCACCAAAGGGAAAGTTAGATTTTCTTATACTTTAGCATTGAAAGTAACAGTTCACTAAAGAAAAGCTTTTACTGCTCTTTTGGAGGATATTTCAGCTGAAAAACAATTCTTCTAAGCAATGTTTTAAGATACATAAACCTGCAATTAAATTCTCCATATTTAAGAGCTTGGACATAATATATTCACAGACTGATGAAACGACTATCAAAGTCTGATGAGCATAAGTGACATTACTACTAAGATGCACTTTTCTGTCTCTAATAGCAGATATGGAAGACCCCAAGAACTCCACGTCCTACACTCTACCTCCAGGCTGCAGATTATTTCCAAGCCGCTGCTCTTCGGGCCACTACTGAAAAGGGTATTGGCAGTAAAGCAACTACCACACAAGTTTTGGTTAGGAATACATAACAAAAATATAGTGTTTTAAACCAGTCTTTCAGGAAGACAAAAAAAAAGAAAAAAAGGTAAAAAAATGTTTTACAACTTTGGACTATCCTACTCCTTGGCTGCCATTCTTCCTTATGGCCACTAGATGCTACTCTCCTTCTGGCCTGTACCAAAAACGCTCGGCTCCTCCTGAAGTAATCGCATCAAACCATCAGCAAGCAGAGATGAATTTTCCAAGCTCTCTCTCAAATAGTAAAGACTGCCATTTGCTCAAATTCCAGTCCAAGCTGGGGTTTTTCCAACTGATTCTTTTTTTACCACTCTGAAACATCAGACATGGCTATTTTTTTTAAGACTGCAGAAACATTCTTGCAGTGTCTGTCTTTGGTTTGGTACAGAAGGAATAGAAAAGAAATGAAGAGTAAAAACCTAGGCCAATTCTAGAAAAGCAACCAGTCTTAAATAAGAAAGTGTTACTTATGAAGAAATAAGCTGACAGCCACATGTCTGAAGACACTGGACTTAAATCAGTTTGCCTAAGTGGCTTAAGACTTTACCTTTTCCCTATAACAGACCAATTTAAAATCTTTACTAGGAACATTGTCCTCACTGTTAAAACTAATAGCTAAGGTCAAAGTACATTGTTTAGTCTTTGTATACCATGGAAGAATAGCAGGTGTTTCAACTCTATTAAAAAATATGGTGCCCAAACAGCTCCATGGGGTGGAAAGTTCAGACAGGAACACCTGAGCAGAGAGGTGACTGAAGTACAAAGAACTAGGCAAATATGCAGCAAATACAAATTTCATTATAAACCCCAACCGCTTCTTCCACAGTGGCAACAGTCAAAGTTGTATTCTAACTTTCTTAAAGCCTGTCAAATTCATTCTAAGGTACCAGATGGATACAACATTATGATCAAATCTACACAGGGAGAAATACATAGTACATGCATATTGACATCTCAACTATGACACCTGTGCATTTTAGGGCTTACATCACTAAATCCACCCATTTTTCCATCAAAAACACTTTTCAAGTGGAAAGAATCATTAGTTAGGCAAATTCTCAAGGCAGCTAGTAAATTTTGATATTTTGGCACTTGAAAAAGATGATTCTTAAAAAATTACATCAATCAGCCAGTCTTCAAAATGCATGAGTAGCACACTATTATTAAGTCTGTAATTACATGTTCTTCCAATTTGAAAAACAACCTGAAAACAGCATAATCAGTTTTTATATTTATTCTTAATTCACAGGTTTTTGTTCCCATACCAACCAAACTGGAAAAGCAAAGACAAGCTGACCTCTCTTTCAATAGTATAAGGGTTCTGCAAAGCCAGTCTAACTAGATTTCAGATATATGAAAGACAAGTAAAAATACTTTCACTATTTCAGTATTCTATTTCAGCTATGCTAAAGCATCTTCTTCCTCCCTCACAAGAGAAGCTCCTAATACTTACTCTCCAAATCAGATATGATGAGATTGTCGTGAAGTTTCACAGCACGATGCTGTTCTACTTCATCTTCCAGCTCAAAAATTGTTTCTTTCATGTCACTTCTCTCAGTCTCTTTTTCATCTAGCTCTGCCCGAAGTTTCTCTAGAGTGACATTGAGATCCTCGATTTGTTTCTTGGCCTCTTCTTGAAACACTCTGTATTCATCTTCAACCTGAAAAAGAAATACCGTATCATAACACCATTAGCTAAATTGATTGCATTTTAAAACATATTTTTGGTTTCTTTTAGTTTCATAACTGTCATACCTAAAGTATATCTTCCCAATCAAACATAAAAAAAGTATGGGCCAAGAAGCTAAATATAAGCCTTTAAAAATGCATTGTTACAGTGCAACTATTTTCCTGAGCCAGAATAAAACATTTTTATTCCCAAGGTGCCTATATGAGCCTTCCCCAGGCACTCTGTAATAGCACTATCTTGCATTCAGGCAAGGCAATACCACCACAGTACCAAGGCTGTGGTTTCATGAGCAGCTGATCCAATTTAACATCTAGCTGCCACAGAAAACAGAAAATCCCTTTACCCTTTCTTTCCCTTGCCAAAAAAGTCTGCCCTCTCCCCCATGCATCAAGTTTAGTGCTTGCTGGATCTGAGAGATGATTCATTTCCTTAACAAAGTAGAAAGCTCCTTATTTCTGTGTTATGTGTTAGTGAAGCAGTTCCCAGGGGAGCCTTGCAAGCTATTGAACTGCCTCAGTAAAAACATGGAAAGGAAGAAGTAGCAGATTTCTCCCTTTTGGGAGCAACGAGACTGTTTTATCCTGCCACATGAAACTGCAACTTAAATAATGCCTAGCTGAGATCAGAGGCATAGTAACATTAGCCCCCAAGCCCAGCAGCAAAATAGGGTGCCAGAAAAACAAGAGAAATTAGGTCATGGCTTAGGGTGGGTCACCACAGTCAGGCACCAATTTTAATCCACACAATACCCTGCTTTAAGTCATCCGTTTCAAACAATTTATAACAGTACTATCACTACCCAACACTAACCATAAAAAATATGTATTTATTTTCAGATTAATGTTGATTCTAACTGGCCCTTGACAAAAATATGTTGTTTTGCACCTAACATGGAATTTGGCATAAACTTGAAAATATTCCTACTACATCTGTAAATGCTCCTGCAAGTCAACAACAGCTGGAGAATGCTCTCAAACCCACTGTGAATCCAGGGCCTTCCTCTGCGGCATCTCTTTTTCACCACTTCGGCACTAAACTCACTGAAACTCTTGCAGAAGGCACACAATTTAAGCATAAAAGCCAAGTAAGTTCATCCCTCAGCATAATTTGAATTTCAATAAAGCTATTTGTAAAAACAAAGAAAGAAACAAATATCCTGTGGTTGAATGTATCTCTGTGTTTTAAAAGATGCACATCGTTTTTGTAGGAAAAGACGAGAAAGCAATCCTAATATTACCACAGTCTGATAAACCTAACTTAACCCTTTATTTCTAGAAGTACTGCAAAGATAGATGACAAAAGCCCTGGTATACACACAATATTAAAATACACTGGCTTGTTTTAAGCAATACCTTAGCAATGGCATCCTGCAATCGATTAGCATCATTGCGAGTGTGGGCCAGCTCTTCTTGCAGACTACTGGCCAACGTCTCTGCTTTTTCTTTATCCAGCCTGACACTCTCCAGCAAATCTTGTATATCCGATTTATCTCCGGAATTGTGTATAGAATACAGCTCAGCCACTTTCTGCTTTTCATGCTCTAACTGAGCTTTCAGCCTGTTCATCTCAATTTGGTCACTGGCTACTGTGGCTTTGTACTCCTCCAGGGTTGATGCTATTGCTGTCTTGCTCTTCTGCTCCGATTCTATAATCCGTTCCATGTGATGATTTCGTTCTTTTAAGGCCCCTATCATTTCTTGGGCCTCCTTGTTGTCTTGTTCTGCCATCTTCAAAGTGTTGCTCAAGTGCTGCTGAACACCTAGCAGCTGCTCCCGCTCAAACCGAGCGTTCTCTGCAAGATCCATGTAGCGCTGCTCTAACTCCATGTAGCGACCACTTTTCATATCTTCATCAATTACGTAGGAGATATGGTGTTCATCTAAAAGAGACCGAAAGTACTCGATCTGCCGGCTGAAGTGCTCCAACTTGTCACTTTGCTGGCACAAAGATTCCATAAGGATTACTTTCTCCTCTCCAAGTCTTTCGTTCTCACTGTTCAGCTCTTGGGTTATCTGCTGTAAATCTGCAAGCTCTTGCAGTGTTGCCTGGAGTTCTTCTGCTGTGCTGTGTTGGTTCTCTTCCATCTGATGTATCCGTTCAGTCAGACAAGCTACGGACACTTCACTGGCATTGCCACTGCTTCCTTTTCTAGATCTCTCAATACTTGGTACACCCTCAGACTCTGAAGATGAGGGAGCATCTAAGGCATCATCACTTGATGTCAGCGGCTGATAAACTTCACTGCACTCACTGTCTAAATTATCCATCGAGTTACTATGTTGGTTGTCCATCAAAGTATTTTCATCTTGACTTAAGAGGTCTTCCATTGACCCTGGCGCAGAACCTTCCACTGAAGAAGTAAGAGTACCACCACCATCACTGTGGTTGCCAGCTGTAATCTCTGGGCTCAAGGACTGATAGCCAAAGAGCTTTTCAGAGTTGTCCAGCCTTTGCTCCAAAGAAAACCCCAATGCATTTAGCCTGTCCTTTAGCATGCGATTCTCATTTTTCAACTGGTTGAGCTCCTCTCGGATGGCAGTGTTTTGCTCCTGTAACTGTAGCAATGTGGACTCGACATCCGTGGGCTGATGGACAACAATGGCTTCCTTTTCTTCAGATTTTTCATCGCCTTCGATTTGATCTTCATTAAGTCCCAGCTGAGCACGCATATCCCTCAGTTCATTCCTCAGATGCAAGATTTCCACATCTTTAGTTTTTGCTAGCGTCAAAAGATCGTTCACCTTTGCTTCCAAAGCAGCTTTGTCACTGATCTGATTGTCTGACTTGGACTTGCTCATTCGAATATCCGATTCCGGATTGGTACGGCTGCGGGAACGTTTTGCCAGTACCATATCGTTGGTCCCTTGTCCAGTCAGAGGGAGCTTCTTGCTCTGGCTCAAACGGGAACGGTCCCGTATTCTCTCTCGAGAAGAACTTGATTCTTTATTTCCAGACGAAGTGCTACGCTTAGTTGTGGAACTTGGACCTGTATGTTTTCCGAAAGTCAGGAATATCAGCTTAACAAAACCAGTATCTGTAATACAAGACTACATATTCGCTATATGTAGTCTATATATAATCACTATAGTCACTACATAATGACTGCTGTTCCAAAACACACTGGCAAATGCATTCCATTAAATATTAACTGTAAATGTATTTTAATTGCATTGAGCTGTCAGAATGCTTATAATAAGTGCAATTTTAATTGATACCGGTATGTTTCATCAGCATTTTGAAAACTACTTTAAATTTAAAATTGTACAACTTGCAAGTGTCTTTTGCCTTAAACAGCTTCTGATAGATTGCATTCCATCCCCAAAGTGCTAATTCTGCAATTCTAATTTATCTCTTTTCAGCAGATTTGAATGTAAGCTTTTAAGTGATGACTTATATACTATGATTTCCCAAAAGTAAAGTTTTAAATATTTTCATCATATTTGAGAAAGATCAGGATGGATTACTGCTAGTACTACCTTATACTACTTATACAGTTACATAGCTATATAAAGTTATATATATAGCTATAGCCATAAATACACCTTAAAACTTTCATAGTTATAAGGTATATAGTACTAAAAGCACTATAGTACTTATATAACTTACAAATATATAACCTAGTACTAACTTATAACCTTATAACAGACACCTTTTAACTTTGCTGGAGTACTGAATCCCAAAACCTATCATTGGAGGACAAGAACTATTTTCCATCCGTATTGATAAAACACAAAATACCAGTTTATGAAAGCTATCTGCTTGATTTTCGTAAAATAATAGATAATACTAAAAATACTACAGCAAGAAGATATCACAGGCAATCGCACTACTACAAAACAGGAGGAGACCAGAGTCAAAGCACAGGAGATGCTCAACTTCAGCGTGGCCTTACTGACCATTTCATTAGGGCAATTTAGACCCTGACTACACAACAGGAACAGAAAAAATCATCCAACCACCCTCCTTTAGTGTCAATGCACCCTTTTACCTGCTACAGTTTTTTGTTTGGTTTCCAGACTGCTCATGGTGGTCCCTGAAGCTGAAGATGCTGTTGATGCAGAAGTGTTCTTCTTTGCCTTGACACCGTTGGTCATTGTCACTCCACCGCCACCAGTCATCCCCGCTAAGAGGTCATCATTACTCTTAGTCTGAAAGAGAGAGAGAGACTGCTTTAGGACAACGGACCAATAAGTCTCCACAGGCAACATTTCTTATCTTAAAGATGCTCTCAACTTAAGTTTGATATCTGGAAGGTACATATATGATTATTCGTGTGTCTTTGAAATATATTGCAAAGTGTAATTGCACTCAGAGTAAAGTTGAGATTGAACTTCAGCCTCTTATCACTGACCACAGCCAATTATTCTCTTCTAGACAGAAGAAAATGCTTCATTTTGCAAATAAAAGAGAATTGAAAATAATGGTTGCACAGTAACACAAAGTAGTGTAATACCTTTCAATTTCACATGAAGAATTGCTCAAGGACAAGCATGAATGCTTTTCTTATGGTAGGCAAACCAGAAAATATAAGGAAGTTTGTATCATGTCCTTCTAAAGGAAGCAAAAATATTACATGTTTTCTAGTGAGTGGATTCACAACTAAACCAAGCAAACAAAAAAAATCAAAGATTAATACATAATACCCAATTTCTAGGTCAAAATGCAACCCCCCAAACTCCTAGACACCAGGAGAACATTCCCTATGGATGGAGGTCCCACACACCATAAACCTTGCCTTGTTTGCATGCTCTGTACTAAGCACCCTCAAAGACAGGCTATCTCCAAGCTCCTCTCTGAAACTACTGTTAGCCAAAAAAGCTCTCTGGAACGTGACAAGATACAAACCACAGAAGTCTGAAGAAGCCAGGTTCCCAGATCAAGAATACGCTTTTCAGAGCAAGGCAAACTCTAAAATACTAAGTATTCATCAGAAGTTTTTAGAACTCTTCAAAAAGGCATTTTGTCAAATGCATAAAAAAAGAATGTTAAATATGTTTCCTGTTTATAAGAGCTAAAAACAAGAAAAGAAAGCATCTGTATCAGCAGCATTCTTTGAGTAACAATATTACTTAGCTGGTTGCAACATCTGAAGCCTCACAAAGCAAGATAGTAGGTAGGACCTAAGCAGTTGCTTTACATTATGACTTCCAGTTTCTGTAGGTTTATATTAACTTCTGGTTCCCCTTGTATTTAAGAACTGCTAGACCTTAGGATTCTATTCATTAAAAATGAAGTCACCGAGGCTTAATGAAAAGAGTATTTGCATCTGATTCTCTACAGTAACTTTTTGCAACCCGGTATTTCAGAACTGCTAGGTTCACTGATCACAAGACTGTAGAGCAAGCTCAGAGCCACGGATGTGACTTGTGCCATTTACAAATGACAGCAGCTGCAAAACAAGAAGGAGTTGGGAAAAACAACATATTTGTTCTGCAAGCAGATGCTGAAAAAGCACATAACTGACAGATAAAAAGCATTCTGGGAGGGCAAAATCCTCTAGAACAAGAACATTTTATGCTGAATCATTTAAGAAATGGTATAGCCTTCTAAAAAGGATTTTAGAAGTTTGGAAGAACAGACATCCCTCAAGCTGCACTTAGACATGCATTTAAACCAGCCCTTGCTGCAGTTCCCCTACCCCTCTCTTCTGGGAGCGCTTTTATTCCCACGTTCTCTGTGCACATTTTGCTGGGTAAACTGGAGCCTTTTCAAAGGGCTCCATGCTCCCAGGGGCCAGATCGGTTCCTTGATCTGCGGCGTCACACAGCTGTGCAAAACAGCACGGGCAGCTTAAGCAGCAAGAGGAGGACACAAACTTGGGGGCTGCAGAACCAACCCAGTACAGCCTACGCTGATATAAAGCTGTGCTTGGCTCAGGTTTATTACTGAGTGAAAACCCTAAATCCTCTGCTAACTGGTGCCGTTTTCTTAATACCTAATTGGACTTCACATCTAATGTTTAGGAGTGGGCATGAGCGGCAGGAGGGGGAACAACTTTGTGATGCTAATGCTTACACTGCCTAAAAACAACTGGTTATGGGAGTCCCAGAACAGAACTGCTCTCTGCTCCTGCTCACCAGGTGATGGTTCAAATATTCGGAGCTGTCAGCGTTTTTACCTTGCTAAAGGAGTGGGAAATTAGATTAAGCTCTGAGGCACTTAAAGCACCACCAGATGTTATCAAGCCAACTAGGTCAAATGTGACTCAGCTCGAATAAGAAAATTGCTGCACAAAATACACAGAGGCTGCCGTGAGTCATCCCAAAGCGCTGCTGAACAAAGGCAATTAGGGCTGCCGCTTTCTCCAACTTGCCCGTGAACTATATGTAGCCCAGGTTGGACGGCGCTGCCTCCTCCGCAGCCAATTAGTAAAAGTTTTCCCAAAGCTGAAACATGAAAGAGCCCTGGCACGCAGGGCTGGTTAGCAAAGCTCTGCGTAGTTTGCACGCCAGGAGCTCTCTCTTCTTGACACTGCTTAACTGCATCCGCTCGTGACTCAAGAAATCACAGTATTTGTGCAACACGTATCTCTAATAAAAGGAAAATCAGTGTCACGTGCTAAATGGTTTATTTGCAAGAAAACGCAGATTTCACTATGTGAAGAAAACAGCTCAGTCATTTACCGCGAACAACGCATCTCTGAACACCATTAAAAACCTGTCCATTAGTGAGTGAAAAGTTAGGAAACATAGTAATTAAAATGTTCATCCTGACTTATTTTGATTTTATACACAAAAGACGGTTTTTAATTAAATAATTCATATTCTGTTAGTATGCTATTTTCCCTCTCCACATCTTTACTTCATCCATTACAATCAAACATAAACAAGCACCTCTATGTTGTTTCATCTTAGTGTTTTCAACATGTAGAACCTACTCACTGCACTTCATTCCAATTCTATTTTCAGCTTATAAATACTCTCACATATGTGTGTATTTGAATATACTTATATAAATATACATTAGACATTGTTATTTCTGTCTAGGATTTGCTTTGATGCTCACTGTTGCTGTATTTGAGTACTGTAAGCAGCCCTGTAATTAAGTTACTGACATTTTGCAAACAGTACTGAAGCTCAGACCCAGGAATACTGAAAACACATGCTAATTTTCATTATTCAGACTTTGCGATCCTCATGCTGATTTTTCACAGACATTTTTGCAATTCATTTGTATGAACTACAGTCTTCTAATGATCGTTGTGGTTGCTAGCATGATCAGAGCTCATTGGAGCAAAAAGCATGTGAAAAAGCCACATTCTTAAATACAGAGCACAACGATTTGCAGAGTATTTTCTGACAGATTAAAGAAAAAGTGTGGGCAGTTTATCTTGACATATTCTGGGCACACTAGAAACCAGAAATATTACAAAAAGCAGCAACCTACAAAAAGTTAGTAACCTATTACCTAGTATCACACCCTGGAATAAGCATTCAGTTCTACATAAGGGTGGGTGTCTCAGTTTCTTACTGTACTCATTGCCTAGACATTTAACTTCCCTACAAGAGGGTAAATCCATGGAAGAATGCACAGTTTGAGAAGCCCAAAGCTGGGCACTACCCTATGGCAACACCACAAAGGGGAAGGAAAAATGAGCTGGCTCTAATTGGTCCCAAAACAAAAAGAATTCCTATAAATTAGCCATTTTCAGTCATGCAACATTATTACTGATCAACTTAAAACTTGGTTAGTACTGGAGCTGCATACTGCACTTCTCAGTGTCTGCCTGCTAGGCAATGTGCAACTCCCAATTCTCTCTATGTAAGCATTCTGGAGACCAAGTAAGTCAGCAAGTGGCTGCAATTTAACCTATTGCTATGCTCCCAGTCTTAACGGCAGCTACGATTCAGGATTATTAAATGGATGTCTCAAAATACACACTAATCCAGCAAGACGGGCTCTTATAAACCACAAACTATGAGGAAAGCAAGGTGCCAAACACTTCAAGGACAAGACCAAAGATCCCTGAAATAACAAATTTGAAATTAAAAAAAAAAAGTAACTAGGTATTGATACTTCTCTCCAGACAGTAAACACATATGAGAGTTGCCAGCACCTATATACCCACAAAATATAAACAACTAACTTGGTTGTTTAAGTATGGAATACTCAAAGAGATGTTATTATTATTATGTCTCATTAAACATCGTTGGTAGAACAACTTCACAAGACTTGAAACTGTACGAATAAGCCTAACACAAAACAAGTCTTAGTAATTACAGGTGAAATTTTCATTGTCTCAAACACATTTAACTGTCAAATCCTAATTTGACCCTCCAGCATAGCCAGAAGCGCTGCTAATACTAAGGATAAAACTATAAAAACAACTGTCAAATTTCTTTAGCGATTGTTCATGCTCCATCTTACCAAGGGTTACAACACAAGAAAATTGATAAGAAAACCACAAAAGACTTTTGCTTCTGTATTCTTCGAGAAGTTTTTGGAAAGCCAAAGCTAGCAGAGTCAACACACATCAAAAGATTATTACAAGTTGAGAAGGAAGGCACAAACATTTGGGGTTTAGGCAGTCGAACTGCAGCCTTGCTAGCAAGTTCATCAGCAGAAGCACCATCCACAACAGGGAGGCAAGAGAAAGGACAGAAAGGGAACACACTTTCCGGCTCTGGTAACTCCCAATACCTCCTCTGGAGAAACTCAGCAATCACCACATCACTTATTTCTAGATCATTATTTCTAAAAAGTGCATGTGGCTTCCTGGAGGTGACAGCAGTTCAGGCCCCAGTTGTAGCCAGAGCCACCTTCTCAGTGCAAGCCAGAAGTGTTTGCTAGCAGGTAGGAGCTCTGCAACAGCACACCTCAACAGGCCTTGTTTTTCTTGGATCTTGAAAACCAGATGCTCCTAAATGTGCTGCCCTACTTTGCTAATATTAAAGGAAAACCTCTACCTTTCAGCTCATTTGAGGAGCAAGAATCAACCTGCAAAAATTCAGCTCAAGCAGAGCCAAAAGCAAAGGTCAAAACTGCTACACGAACACAGCTGCACTGACCCAACACAGATCACCAACATCAGAAAGTTTCTCTTGTTAGATAACTCATTAGTTCTTTCTTCAGAATCAGTACATAGCTCTTATCAGATCCCATTAGTCACCACGGTGCTACTCGAGCATGCCACGACACAACTAATAAAGCTCAAAACACAACTTCCACCCTGCTCTTTCTGCAGAGCCACCAGGCTCTACAAGATGCTTTGCTTTCCATCATGTTACACGTTGGAACATGAAAAAATAAAGTACAGATGCCACAGAGGAGCCTATCACCCTGACCAGGGCTACAGAACCATCCAAATTCTCTTCAATTACCTATAAGAAGCCTCCAGTCTAAGTGGCTTTAAAGGTGTCTTAATGTTCTAGTCTTTTCAATGCTTCATAGCCAAAAATAATCAGAACATTCTATGAGTTACCTTCAAAAGGGAGGCCGATGTCCCAGTTTTGGAGAGTTTTGTTACTGCAGACACCGAGGAGCCGTTTTCTGGCTTGGTTTTTTCAGTTGTTTGAGCTTTATTTACTCCAGGCACTTTGGGCACTGAGCCAACACTCCTGCTTGCTTTCTTCATTCTGGGCTGTCTCTTTATGATGCATTTACAAACAAACCTACAAACAGAGAGACATTTTAATACAGGCTACAAATGAAACATATATTTCTAATATTCTATTTAAGACCACATTCAGAATAGCACTCAGCACAAATTAAAGACAAACATATACATGCAGCTGACCAACATTTTTTTGAAAAAGGATTTTTTGTCTAGTTTTGTTTTTACATTAAGGAAGCAGGGATCCCTACAGATCAATTCCAAATTATAGAATGCATTTCTTTTTTCACTTTCCGTATGTGTCTCTGAACTAAGGATATTTTACAAGCGATCCATGTCACTCGGTTCTTTCTTCAGCAAAAGAAAGGCTTGTTAAGGCAGTAATGTTCTTTATTTCTGACTGTGGGAGGAGAAAATATTGTAGGAGTTTCCAATGAACTGACAGATTATCAGCAACACTGGATCTCAGAAAATACTGTTACCAGCTTGGTAACTTGAGCAAAACACTGAGAAAGAGATATGGCAATGGCATAGAAAAATGTGAATTTTTTAAAAAAAATCCACATTCCCAGAAACCAGTTATTACCGAAAGTCACATTTACAAGCACATGGGATTTAACACATCTTGAAATCAAAATTTAATACTAAGGAAATTGTGTTTCTAGTCAAATGATTGTGAGCATTGCCTCTGAAAAGAAACCAAAAGCAAATGAGTGTTCCCAGTCTGCAGTCGGGACACTTCTGCATTTCCACCTGGGTTTCAAGTCTTCTCAAGCAGCAGAAAACTGTTAGCACTGTCATCCCAGCCACAGCAAAACAAAGCGAAATCACGGAAAAATAAAGTTGCCTTTCCCTAAATTCCGAGCAGCTGCAGCAGTGATAAACAGAGAAGTTATCCCAAGAACTGCTAATTGGGCAAAACAGCAGAAGAAGCGCCAAAAAACGCTGACGGTCCCAGCTCAGTGCAGGGCTCGTGGGAGGACGAGGTACATCCCAATCTGTCCCTCTTGTGAGGGGCGGATGGTTGCCAGCTGTTTATTCGTTCCCTCTGAGTCAGAAGATATGGGATAGAAGATAGGAGGAGGAGGAAAGTTCCATCCCTCATTTTCAGTTTCAGGGATGCTGGATGGAAGCAAGTGATCCGATTCATCTAAGCCCACTGTCCTGGGGCCGATAAGAAACATAAACCGTTCCTAGTAGTTTCCATCTTGAAAGAAAAGGAACATTTCACATGTACAAAACGCAGCCTGATGCCCGAGTGAATGAGAAGTACTGAACAAAAATACAGTCATCATGACTACGAATGCATTTAGGCTAACTAAATTAAAACCAGACCTTCCAACACATTCCTGTCTCCCCATCACCATCTCAGCTGCACATAAGTTCATTAAGTCTGATTTTTTTATGTCAGCAAAACGCAAAGTTTCATATCTTCAGACCAAGTACTCTTAGCAGCAGCAACTGAGTCTCATTTTAAGCCAATGCAAATACGTGTTTACAGGTGATGTGTTTGTTCTGCACAAATATTTTCGTGTGGTAACGCAGCCTACTTGATGTCCAAACCAAACCATACTTACAGGTAGTGCCAAACTGCCACATTTAAATTTCCTGCCTTTTTGTGCTTATGTTATTGAACACTTAGGTGATTTTGGTCTGACTGAATATCATACTGGAACTGAAAGGATGAAAGAGAATAAACATTTTAATAAGACCAGCATTATTATCCTCCTCTGTATGTTTAGCCTTCTGCAGACTACATTAAAAAAGTTGTCCACAGCGTGCCTGAGAAATGTCTAGGCAGAGATCTCATTCACTCTCAGTGCATCGCTCCTGTGCATCTGACTCCTCACAGAAAAACTCAGCCAGCAACTGTGCAGATACTTGGGGGCCAGAGAGGAAAGAGGGGGAGGTACCACTGTCTCTTTTCCCAGAGAAACCAACCTCCAGTAGTTGCTTTCTTATTAAAGATGATTTTGTAATTACAGTGTAAAACCAGAGCGGGGGGGAAGGACAAAAATGAGCCAAAAACCTTTAGGTGAAGTAATGGCAAGACCTAATTACATATTCTAGAGGCACCTCATTAAAGCTGCTCGAGCGTATTTACAGCCTGTTGATGCAAATTTCTCTTATCCCTCTTTCTTCAGGAAGGAAGAAAAAGAGGTAGGGGTTTCAATGCTGAAAACAGAAGACATCAATAATGTTGACTTGTAAGGGGAAAGCAAAACAAACACGACTTCATCCAGTTTCCTGGAGGTGCCAAGCAGTAACATGGATAAAAGTGACCATTATGCATCTCAAGTAAACAGATGTGTTCTTTGGAAAGGCATTCATTAAGGACTGACAGTAAATTAGGCTACCAAGATACAGTGATTGTTTCTATCTAATCCGAAACTGATCTAAAATTAGAAATAAAGCGGTTGCTAGCTAAATCAAGCTCACAAAGATTAAAACACACAACGCTAATAATTTAGATTAATATTATAAATGTAAATATCGCACACATAACTTGAGAGATTCCACATTAAGCCTCTAGTTTTCCAGCCTCTAAGAAAAAAGGGAATTATTGATGACTCCCTTGGCCCTGGGGCTCACTTCCTTCTCTCCCTCTAAAACATAACAGTGAAGTAGAAGCTTTAACACCAACAAGGTAGAGTGAAAAGCGTAACCGCAGGGCCTGGGCTTTGCTGGGACCAGGGCCTGTAGCTGCACCAGAGACTCGAGGGACGCTGCTGGGATCCATCACAGCACACTGCTAAACCAGAGGCTCTGAGCAGTCTGCACACACAGAACATTACAGCACAACAGCTGGTTAACGGCAGCATTACAGAGTTAATTATAGAATAATTCAGGATGGAGAAAAAAAAAAAAAAGAGGGCAAAACAAGCTCAAAATATCACAGAGAGACTTAGAATGACAAAACAACCGAAAAGGAACAATTAATTCTAACCTGTACCCTTTCCCAGACTTCTCTCTTTCCACAGAGCACGTAGTACGGGACACAAAGAAATACTTGTTCATTGCTCTGCTGGAGGAGAGACATGAAGCCAGTCTTTATACTCCACACCAAAGGCAAACACAACTCCATAAATAATAATTTAAAAATGTTTTGCCCAATAGCATGGCTCTGCCCTTTACTGTAAACTGATATGATGCACCCAGGCAGGCGAGATGAAATTCTTTAGGAGTTACTGTTCTATACTGTTAGGATTTTGGAAATCTGAACATCAAAAATAACGGGAAAGGCATTCTAGTAACTGGTACAATCCAGGATTTAAAATATATATATTTGTTATTGTGACCATTTAAAGCTCATCCATTATTTAAGAAGCTTAGCTGTGCCACTACTGATTTTGCAAAAGTAAGATTCAACTACAGTTCAAAAAAAGTTTCCTTTGCCCATGTTACCCAACCAACAAGGTATCACTCTTTTGCCGTGAGTTGGAAATACATAAACAAGAAATATTACACACTATTACGTATTAAAATTGGCTAGTTATTTTAAAAGGTACAATTATCTTAAAATTATCTTTTAAGAGTTCCATAACATACAGAAGACTGACCCCCTCAAATTTGATGATATCAAGTATTTTTTTCAAGATTCAAAAATACAGAGGACAAAATAAGCCTCTCCAAACTTAAGCACAACAGACTCGCTGCACTTTCACTCACTATTTGTACAAGTTCTTTGGGCAAAAGTTGTCAGCCTAAATATATCTAAACCCAACAATTAAGGAATGACATTTTTAGGCCACTTACAGTCCCAAAAGGCAGAAATGGAAGGAAAAGATTATGCAATATTCCCTCCTCACCCTCTCCTGTAAAATGCATTCAGATTTCCTCCAATTCTCTGCAGGCAAGAAAACAGAACCACCAATGATTTGACAGCTGGAATACAAAATATGCTAGACACCAAGAGTATTTACAGTGTTCACAACCCAAACTTGCAGCCTGCAAGTTGCACAAGTCAAAAATGATGCCTCTTGCTCAATATTTCCAAAAACATAAGCCATTTAGCACCAGATTCCACAACCCCAGAGCAAGCAGTGCCTATGTTTTATTTATGACTTAAAATGGACTTGAGAAACTATTTTTAAAGAGATGAAAGTCTGCTGATGCTATAAAGTTATTTTAAGGTACAAAGGATGGCAGCAAACCCCAAAAGACCCTTTAGAGACCGACTTAAAAATTACACACAAAATTAAAGGTAGGCAAATGCAAAGCAATCTCTCTCTTGTGGAGGAAAAAAAAAGATCTTCAGCTTCATATAGAAATGTGAATGGATCTGAACAGATCGTCTTTGCTCAACAAGACCTGTGTTTTGACACAGCTTCACAAAAATATCAGCACAGAATTTGAAAAAAAAAGTCAAAAAAGCAAAGCAGTTTATAGACCTGAAAAAAGGTTCAGCAAAGGGCTAGAAGATGATCAGAGGGATGTAATGGCTCCGTAGAACATTACAAGGAGAAGACATGAGAACGGCCCATGAAGAAGCCTCATTTTCTACTCAGTAGGCAGTATATTCTATACTTCAGTGAAGTGTTGTAGATACAAGAAGCCTGGGTGAAACGGGAGACTGGACAGGCACGAGGAAGAGCAATCCCTGAACAATGTTAAATCACTAAAACAGAGAGGGCTCAGAACAGCCCCAGCCTACAAGGTCGGCAGAGCAGTCAGGGAAGATTCTTGTTTTTCTCTAAAGATTTGTGCACAATCAAGGCTGGGACCAGGTAAGATGGATCCTTGGTCTAATAAGCACAGTTTGTTACATTTTTATGTTGACAAGCCATCACAAAAACATCAAAGTGTCAATGATTTATCAGCCCTACAGCTTCGGAATAACTGCCACAGGTAAGTCTTTATGAAGAAAAGGATTTTCCTATTACTTTCTATCTCAGTAATTTTCCATTAGAATTGCGGAATTACAAAAACAGGAATTCAAGTTACATTAGCCATATTCCTGATTATTTTACCCTTGGTTTTTCTATTTCTCTTCAAAACGGAACAGAAGAACAGAACTTTATGCAAGAACTGGCCATTACACACAATTTTCTCTACTCC